TCAGTTAATAGCATTAATCCCCTGTTATAATGTCAACACAACGGCCATTGTATTCCCAATCTGAATTGTACCACTAATTATTAAAGAGGATGAATTAAAAGCAATCAGATCGCTTAAATACTTACTTAAGTCACCCCTGCTGGAAAGAACAGACTCGTCTTACATAATAAAAATGCAGAGGTATTCTATATTTTGCAATGCATGCAATCTGACTTTGAGAGATTCACGTATGACTTTATAATAATATAATTAATTTTGCATACCCAAATCTCCAGCTGCTGCAGCGCTAAAGCAAAGCACAAAAAATGCATAGTCTTTAAAAGCCGCTCTGCAAACATAGAAATTTAATATTCAGACGTAATCGTCTGATCGATTGTTCCACATAACCGAAATATGAATGCGTGTTATATAAAGCTTTGGCGTTCACAGTTTCTATTGTAATGTAATCCATGTGTATTAATCATCAGGTAGGAAAGCAAGCCTCATTTCTGTAATCTGTTGCTCTGAGTTTACCGGTTGTTTATCACTTTCTTATCACGAACTGGGAAGTCTAGATTTAATGATAAGCAATACCTGTTGGTGTTAACCTCCTCCCCCTCACCTTCCTTTTTAAGGACTGAATCTCCTATAGGCCACAGGAATTAATTCCCTATGTCTGGTGGACAGATCTCTTCTGAATGCTGGGAAGAGAGGGAAATTGGCTCAGGGCTCGGGGGTTATAGGGTAGGGGTTCTACAGGGAAGGAAAACCAAACAAACATAGGTTACTTAAACCTTACACACATCCATATGCTTGACGAGGTAGCTTTAAACAGCACGTTTCCCAGAGAGCACACTGAGCCTGTACTAGAAAGATTATTTAAACGGCATCTTACTGTGTATTATTTTATTAGCAGCATGTTTAATTGATTAATAATAGGCTGCCCCAGTACCCTATAATTCTTCAGTTATTGCCATCTTTCCTTCCTGTCAGTTTCTAATACATTCCCCAGCGTAGTCTGGTTTGATGCATTTTTCCCATCCACCCAGCTATAATGATATGAGGTCTCCTGTAAATAATTCAGCTATAGAGCCGACTGCACTTTTTAAACTGCTATATTAGGTTTTATAAGATGCAGTGAAGACAAAATGCAGGTTTAATGTACCAGGGTCCAGTATAGAAGTACTTTCCGGGCTTTAATGTTTTTCCTGTTGGTGACAGCTATTTCATTAAAACTTGGTTACCTTCAACAATTACTACTTCACAGGTTAGGTTAACATCTCGAGGACAGATCCTGGATTCTGTAAGCAAAACTCTCACTGATGGATTGTGATTGAATAACAAGTATATAGCTGAGAACATCCATGGGCCTAGATATGTGCGAGTCAGAGATATAACAGAAATAAACAGACCAATGGAGACTGGTAGGGAAGTACCCTACCGGTAGGTGGGTTGTGCACAATGTGCACACCTGTGGTAGATGGGGGTGTGCTTTTTTATGGGAAAGGGGTTATCTAGGAAGGTAAGAAGGGGAGGAGAATGTGATCGAGCTACAATTCCTGCGCACTAATAATAGAATTCAAATGAGGATTATGTGTGCAATTAACAACAGACTTCTCAAAAGTCTCTCTAGACCAGTGAGCCTGAGAAAATATAGACCAATGCCTTCACCTCGACTTCTCCCTTCTGATATGTTGTAAAACTGCCAGCATTCGGGGTGGGCAGGAATGATCATATTCCTGAAGTTTATTATGCGCTGAATGTTTATTCTAATGGACTTCCTCGCCGAACTGTAAGGAGAGGGCTTGCACCCCTGCATAGTCACCTAGGCCTCCCCCCACCCAAGCAGACAGAAACCGAAAGTAGGCTGGAAATTGACAGATTCCTCTTTGGAGATGGACATTGCACGTAGCTTGGCCACTTGTGAAAAGCTGTTCTGAAAGTAGACAGCTATTAGTGCCATCAATGGGCAATCCTATACAGTCCTCGGTCTATTCCTGTGTGTCCTTCCCGCCTGTTCACCATACACAGGGCGACGCTTGTACTTGTGCTCTCCCCCGGTATCACTGGCAAGCCCTGCGCGCGAGTCTGTGTGATCGTCTGTACGATAGAAGGGGGGTGGATAGGCACCTATTGCAATGGAGACAGCGTGTGCAAGCCTAGTTGTGGCTCGGAGCCGGGAGAAACTGATCAGCGGTATCATCCTTTGGCTTGAGCAGCGCGCTGGCTGTCAGACAGCGAGGGTGGCTTGTAATGCATGACAACAGCCTGCTTCCCTCGCTCCCTCCCTCCCTCCGCGGGCGGAGAGGGAGAAGGAGAAGGGGGCGGGCCCGTCGGAATATGCAGATGAGCCGCGCTGACGGACAGCTCGGCTTTCCAATGTCCCTCAGCAACTCGAGCGCTCCTTCCTTCAACTCTTCACTCCAGACTCTGGGCTCCCCCCAAAATCCAGGCTGGCCGGCGCTGGGGGAGCGGGCTGGCGGGCAGAACTCCATATGCAGCAGCCACTTGGCTGAGCCGGGCTCGCTCTCCCCCTCTCTCCCTGGCTTGCCTTCTCTCCCCCCCCTCCCCGCTCTGTCGCTCCCCAGCTACTTCCCCCCTCTCCCCCATGCCTTTCTCCTCCGGGGTAGGCTGCTGAGCGGAGCCGCCGCCGTTGTGGTGCTGGCCGGGGCGCATGGGGGGCCAGTAGGACAAGGCTCATTCTCGGCGCAGCTGCCCCGAGCCGGCCAGGGAGAGGGAGAGGGAACACGAAAGCAGCAGCAGCAGGAGCAGCAGAAGCGCCCGGGCCGGTCACCCTCGCCCCCTCCCTGCTCCTGTGCACGCCCGGGCGAGCCATGTCCTATCCTCAGGGTTACCTCTACCAGCCCCCCGGCTCGCTGGCTCTGTACTCCTGCCCGACGTATGGGGCGTCGGCTCTGGCGGCCCCCAGGAGCGAGGAGCTGGCCAGGTCTTCGTCGGGCTCGGCGTTCAGCCCTTACCCGGGATCGGCAGCTTTCACCGCCCAGGCGGCGGCCACAGGCTTCACCAGCCCGCTCCAGTACTCCACAGCCCCCGCCACGGGATTCCCCTCCTACATGGTAACTACCGAGCAAAATCCTCGCCGTCTTCATTAGCATCCGCATCCTCATCCTCCGCAGCCCCTGTCTCCCGCACACGCGCCCGCAGTCACAGAGCCCCGGCGGCACCGCCAGGCGCCGAGCGCAAACTCCGCCGCCTGCTTCTGCCCTTCCCATCCCGCGCCTAGAGCGCAAACCCGGGCAGGGCGAGCGGGGCCAAGGGAGAAGCGGTCGGGGGAGCCCTGGCACCGCCTCGCTCCGGACCCTGGCGGATCTCAGGGCTTGCGAACGGGAAAGCGAGCCTGGTCGGTCTCGCGGGTCCCTGTAGCAAAGAATCCGCATTGTCTGGAGCAGTTTGGTGGCTGCGGTTTGTGCTGCAGCAGGAGAGGGGAAGAATTTTTTTTTTTCGTGCTTTTCTAAGCCAGCGTTTAGGGGAGCTCTGGGAAGGGAGCCCGGTGCGGTTTCAGTGACTTTCAATGCGTTGTGTGCTAACTGGATTTTAGGGATGAAAAGGAGCATCTGTTGGCGAGCTGTGAGCTTCGCTCATGCCCAAGATGGTTGTGGTGGCCGCAGCTTCAGATTTCACTTTGTTGTCATTAGTTAAAGGGAGCATTTGAAATTGTGTGTGTGTGTGTGTGTGTGTGTGTGTGTGTGCATATAGATATATAGATATAACTATATATACATATATATATAGTTATATATATAGTTTAAGTTATATAGACACACATCAGGAACGTACGGTCGGAGACTCCAGGGTGGTTTTGATTGGTGCCAGGAAGGGGTGGCAAAAAAAGATTGGTTTTATTTCCATATAAACAGCGAGAAAGCCAAATGTTTTCTGACTGTAACATTCTTAAGCAGAAAGGCTCGCGCAGTCTTTATTCAATGCAATGTGAGTGATCTGAAGATCTGCCCCGCCTGACTTCCCTGTCGAGGAGCAGTAGATAAGTGGCTGGAAGTTGCAAAGTGTGTTTGTCGACTATTAAGAGCATTAAGGTGTATTTGGGGCCATGACTCGCAGAGTCCCTTCCCTTCTCTCGGATTTTTAAACGCCCTTAAAGTTATCGACTTCCTTAGTTACATCTCCAACTTTTCTTGCGTTCGGCAGATGTAAATAAGCGCAATGTAAACGTTAAAGGGCGAATTAAAATGCTAATTACATCGCATTTAAACAATTCGAAACGGTGCATACCTTCTGATTTGCAAATTGGATTTGCAATGCATTAGTGCAGTGAATTGCTAAGTGGCGGCTTTGTTGTATTTTCTATAGCGAAAAGGAAACATCTTTTGAACCTTTGAGAGAAACGTAGATCTCAAGACACTACCTGCAAGGCCTTTTTAAAAACTGTCTGCGTGACTCCGAAATAATTTGGGGAGATATTCAATTACAAGGAGCTGAAATTAATTGAAGATTAAAAGATCAGCAATTTAAGTGTAATCGGGCAGGGGAGGGAGGGGGAATAAAATCGTAACGGCCTTTGAGTACCTTGTTTTGCTATCGGAATAGGAATGTGAGATACCAATCCAGGGAAGTGCAAATAGAATCGCTGATCTTTTCTTGACAACGCACTAATGACTAGCAGCAATAACAAATTGCCATCCCACTGTTTTGGCCTTTCCAGGGCTCTCCTTACGACGCTCATACGACGGGGATGACCGGGGCCATCAGTTACCATCCGTATGGCAGCCCTGCTTACCCTTACCAGCTGAACGATCCCGCTTACCGGAAAAACGCCACGCGAGATGCCACGGCCACCCTGAAGGCCTGGCTGAACGAGCACCGGAAGAACCCCTACCCCACCAAGGGCGAGAAGATCATGCTGGCCATCATCACCAAGATGACCCTCACCCAGGTCTCCACCTGGTTCGCCAACGCCAGGAGGAGGCTCAAGAAGGAGAACAAGATGACCTGGGCTCCCCGCAACAAGAGCGAAGATGAAGATGAAGACGAAGGGGACGGGGCAAGAAGCAAAGAGGAAAGTTCAGACAAGGTGCAGGAGAGCAACGAAGCTTCTGCCGAGGACGAAGGTTAGGCCCAACGCGATTGTGCTAGCTCAGCTAGAAGGGTCCCACAGGGGTACGCGCGCAAGTGCGGGATTGATTTAAAGACACTGTCACTGCCCACAAATTGGGACCGGGGTTCAGCGCCTTGGTGCCGTGGGATATGCTTAAAACTCATGCCCCATGCCCTCTAGCCTCACTCAGTAGCTCATCTTCGCCCTGAACTGGTTAATAACAATAGCAAAGGGGGATCTAACTCTGCAAGGAGCCATTCCCCTAAAACCGCCAGGCACAGCATTCGTGTGAGTGAAAGGCCAGTTGCGCTCTGTCGGGCTTTCGTGCAGCCGTAGGGGTAGCTCCTGGGATTGTTCCTACAGTTCTAAGTAGTCAGCGAAGGGGGTTGATTCCAAGCGCCGCTTTTCCATCCGTGTTGGCAATGCGCGGGCTTCTTTCTCTCCTGTCCCGCTCCCTGTAGTCTGTGTCACTGACTGTGCCCTTGTCTGTTTGGCTGGTGCCTTTGCAGGGATCAGCTTGCAGGTGGACTCGCTCACGGATCACTCCTGCTCCGCGGAGTCGGACGGCGAGAAGTTGCCCTGCCGAGGTGGGGACACGTTCTGCGAGTCCGGCTCGGACTGCAAGGACAAATACGAGGACATCGAGGACGACGAAGATGAAGAGGAGGAAGCGGAGAGAAACCTTCCCGCTAAGCCTGTGACTTCCTCCCCCCTCACCGGGGTGGAAGCCCCCCTCCTTAACCACCCCCACGAGAGCGCCTCAAGGAACTCCAGTAAGGCTACTCTGGACAACAGGATTTCCCCAACTTCGGAGACACAAGCTAATAAGCCCAAGCTCTGGTCTCTAGCTGAAATAGCCACCTCGGACCTTAAAAATCAGAACATGGGCCAAAGCTGTCAGCCACCGACTTTATCGTCAGTAACGCCCTCTTCTGCTTCGCACACTTCTGCCTACTCTCCCTCTTCTCTCTTAGGAAGGCACATTTATTACACTTCACCTTTTTATAGCAATTACACCAACTATGGGAACTTTAACGCACTCCAGAGCCAGGGGATCCTGAGATATAACACCGCAGCAATGGCTTCGAACGAGGGACTAGGTCAGACTGTACTAAATACCAACTCTGTTCACAAACAGAGCAGTGACTCTTTGAAAACGATCACTAATCAGCTAGAGCAACATTACAGGCCCTCTAGTTATGAGTCGAAGAAAGGTAGGTGACTGATTGCTTCTATTCTTCCCAAAGGCAAAATGACTTCTATGCCCACTGTAGATAAAGAATGCTTATTTGGACAAACACCATCAGCAGCAGCACACAATTAAACCGACAATACTTAGGAAAAGGAGATGGAGCTAGGCAATATATTTTGGGAATTTAAAAATGTTCCATTTGACGAAGAGAAAAAAATAATAGAGGCATTAAAAAAAATTTACATCCTAAATATGTAGCTTAAAAGTCATTATATTTATATATTTGTAAATATTATAATGTTTATGTTTTGTGCATTGTGTTTAGTAAAAAACAACATTTTGCTTCTTTAATATTGAGGACTAACTGTAGTTTTCTTTGATTTAAGTGAAAGAAAATAAAAATATCCAAGTTACCAAATTATATCCTCCACAAAGCCTCTATTTTCCCCATGAAGTTTTAATATTGGTATAACAAATTGTCTGATTTTAAAAACGAATTAAACCCCCTGGTGCTACCATTATCCTAACTGAAGTTATAAAATATTAGTATGAACGTTTGAAATGGTTTAGTTATGAATTTTGTGCAAGTGAGTTTTGGGACACACACACACACACACACACACACACACTGTATAATCTAGTTAGCTGGCTGTGTCCTGTGACTAACTGACGGTTATATTTTGACAGATCCCACTGACGTCTGCACAGTAGGAGTACAACCATACCTATAGAAGTGCAATCACACAGCAATGCAAGTAAGTGAGAACATTTTCTATTACACTGACCATTTGGCATCAGGTCCGAGACATATTGCACAGCCGTAAAGTTGCCTAACATTAATTTCCTGCTTCATTACGTAAGAGTCTGATTACAAAGTAATATGCTCTTTTCTGGTCTTTTAAAAATCCCTTATTACAGCTTTTCACTGCTTTATATTCTTTTGTAAGTCAATTTAGATGGTTCCCACTTGACATGACCTTGCTTTTTTCCCCATATGCAAAGCAAAAATTAAGGAATATTTAAATTTTATAGAGATATTTTTAAATCTTTGTTAAATAATTTTCTAATAATTAACACAAATGTATTAAGATATTATCACATTTGTACATTGTGTTTCACAGATTATCAATTTAAATTAAAAAGGACAATTTTAAGATTTCAGCATGCATTTCTAGGAGGGCACTGTATCTCTGGAATTTTCTTATGCCTGGTGAACAATGGCACCTTTACAATCTTCTATGTTTAAGACTAACCAAAATACTGGAGATATTTTAAACCTAATATTTCAAGAGAAAAAAAATCCAGAAGAGTGAGCATTTTAGGGCGTTTAAAAAACCCAATTTAATGATGTATTCGTGTGTATCTGAAAGATTTTGGATGATCTGGTTTTTTCCTTGGTCCACAGGTAGGTGTCACAATTGCTTTGAAAAAAGTCAGCAAGCCATCATCTCTCCCTGAGTTAATATATAGAACAAATCTCTAAATCCGGATCACATCTTGTGCCACTGTATAAAGGAAGACCACAGAGCACTATTAAATCGACAGACTCTAATTATTAAACCAGAATTTTGTTGGACATATGTGAGTTTGCTGGTATAGTATAGTTTCCCCAATGTATGTGTTACTTTTGAAAACAGATCTGTTTTTTCTCAGGATATCTTGAATAGATCACTTCATTGCCACGGTAAATATTCGATAGGTGTGATAGGATTTATTGTAAAATTTATTTGTAAGAGATGGATACCGTAGGGATAACAAAGATGTTATTGGAACACGAGTACTTAAAAAGTGGAAACAAATTTGATATTTATTTTTGTAATGATATAAAAGCTTCTAGTAATTTATGCAAGTTGTATTGCAATGAAATCTAAACTTTTTGTAAATAAATTTTGCCTGGTTTTTATTTGAAACGTTAATGGTTATTCAATCTTTGGTTGTTTAACAAGATTTCTTTACTAATTTATATCTTTAATTGTAAATAAAAACAGACTAGTCTGCAACAATATGGTGTTTTGGTTCATTTTCCCCTAGAATAGTAAAAGTAGTAGAAGTTATTTAGGAAATAATCATAAAATTGACAGAAGTTGCAATTTCATCTCATCATTTTTAGAATAAAAACCCCCAAAGAAGCTAAAAAAAACTTGTGAATAATACTTTGCTTAAGTGAAGTTCAGAGTTGTTCTATATGTAGATAGATATAAAGATATACGTACTAGCACTGGTACATTTCTTACAAGCGAGCAGCGATGCAATTATTTGTAGTATTAGCACTTTCCAATATCCTTTTCCATAAATAAAAGATCTTTATAGCCCTTTTTAGTTTGCTAGCTCAAGCAATCATTTATTTTTATTCTGGATAAGCAAAGTCCAGAAGTGCTGAAAAAGCAAGAAAACAAAATTCCCTAGCCCCTAATTTTTATGTTTTTTCTTCTTCTAAGCCACATGAATGATGTTTGTAATGCTGAGAAATCCACCGTGATTAGACTCAGAAAATCAGCTACCCTATCATTTTAATTTTCAGTAAAATAATGAGAATCACCATTTAATATAATTTCAGAAAAGAAACGAACAGTCATTTATTTTCCCCAAAAGATAAATTGAGTGAATATAACTTACGGTTATAAAACAAGAATAATAGCTTCTTAGATTGCCCTTTAATCAATCATACACTTATTTTTTCAAGAGGCTCATCTATTTTATTCCGTGATTAATAATGTTTCAGCGTGAGAGCATTATTAGATCCCAGCAGGGGAGATCCTGGATGCTTTTAGCTGCTTTGGAATGGTCAGTTGGGGTTCATTATGGTCTGATATTGAACAATTTATAAAATCTTGTCTAAACATCTGCCAGCTCAGATAGGCCGATGTGTCTGAGGATGGGAAATTGCTGGACCAGTTGATATTGACAAACGGATCTCTCTCCAGTGGCTTTTTGTTCAGTGAAAATTAGTGGCCTCTTGCTCAGGTCTTGTTAGAAAGGGCATTTGAAAGTGATCTTAGATACTTCAGGCAGTAGCCCAGGGAATGTTAACTGGTTAAAGAGCCATTCTGGTCTGGAGTCAGAAAATGCACCCTTATGGTCTTTGAAAAAACCTACCACAGTTGCACTGGTAAGTTATAAAGATGTCGAGCTGATTAAGAAAAACATAGCAGTGTGCCTTTCAACACATAAGGCAGACATTAGTATTACAGTTCTAGGAAACTGCAGGGTGTCCAGAGATATATATCTTGCCTACTTCAGACATTTTAGGGTGATAGTTCCCTGTCGATATAACACAATGTTTTAGCATGTAAGTACAATGCAACTCTGTATCTGCATATAATATGTAGCACAATTTTGCAAAAATCTACACAGCCTTCAGAGAATGCTTTGTCTTTAGATAAATGTGGAATATAAATGCAAACATTTGGACACAGTCTCAAACTGTTTTATAACTGTGGAAATTAGAAGCGTTATACAATGAACTTTTTATTTTCCGTTGAGGTATTTTCTGTTGGAGCCTCTTTCCTCCGTGTCTTAGTTAATACACCCCTCTCCCCCCCCCCCACCACCACTTTTCCTTTTATGTCCCAGGTCTTCCGTGGGACACAACGTATACATTGCAGTTGGTAAAAACCAAAAGCTGTGGCAGAGATTAGAAAAGGGTAATGACATTCCTTTGATGTTTCTACGCCCAAAGAATTATAAAAGATTTCCATAATTTACCCACCCTTGCTGGTCTTTAGACCTGGATTTCTTTCTGGGAAGGAAAGTAGAAAGATTTGGGAAACTCGCTTTTAAATATTCACTATGTATGTAAAACCCAATGGGTTTCTATCATCCTCTTTGAGAAATTCATGAGCGCTCATGGGGGTGGTGTTCATCCTTGTCCGAGATGTGGCAAATACATTTATTTTTTCATCGAAAATTAATGGGCGAGAATCTCAATGCCAATCCCAGTTAGTGTTTAATAATTAAAATAAAAAGCGGGAGCAAAGCGGAGCTGTGTTAGGTTGTTGGCACAAACAGTGTGATTAATTCAGGAAGGAAAGAAAAACGTTTGGACAATAAAGGAGTACTTTGTGTACAGTTTGTTTCTCATTGACGCTAATCAGCCCGTTGGGATTAATATCTCACGCCCATCCCTTCATTTACTCCAAATTCCTTTCGCCCCCTCCCTCCCCCCAATCTTTGTAAGAGCTAGAACAAACCGTCTCTTCTGCAGGGCGAGAGGTTTCATTAGGGTTGATTTACGGAAATGCAAGCTTTAATCTCAGGTGGGATCCCCGAGGGACTGGGGCTGTTGTCAAATAGGAGCAGAGGCGCGCTCCACTTTACACTGCCTGGGCTGGGCCTTTCCTTGCTCCCTTCAAATGTCAACATTTGCTCGCCGTGAAAGAGTTATTGTTTCAGCAAAGCTGCTCTCCACCAGCCTTTGAAAGTTGAAAGAACTTCACCCACCGTTGTTTGATGGAGGCGGGGGGAAGGAGGGAGGGAGGGACGGAGAGGCACCGCACGGCACAGGCCATAGACAGAAAGGGAAGGACTTTGTGGGAGTCGCTCCTGGAGACAAGTTCACGGTTTGAGCGGGCTACGGAGTTGAAAGGAAGAGCTAACGTCCATTGTGATAGACACGAGCGATTCGGTTTCTGTTGGTTCCGCGGGCAAACCTAAGAAGTGAAGAGCTCTGGGGGGCGTTTAAAAATAGATATGAATATTGAGGAGACCGAGATTAAAAACAAATTCTCAGGCAAAGAAACAAAGAGCGAGGCGGGCTCTGTAACTCGCGGCCACCAGGCGCACCCGAGCCCAGCAGGGGCATCCAACAAGCCATCACACAAAGTCTGTCCCTGTCCCTTTCCTCCGAGGGGCGGTGCCTGAAGTCCCTGCGCGTCCCACTTCCTAGACTCCCAGTGACGCGCTGGGGAATTTAGGGGGTATAATCAATGAGAGATCGGTCCCTGGATCCGACAGCGGAGACAGTCATTACAGGCATTCTTAGCCAGCTCAAAGAAGAAAAAAAACCCCGAACCACTCTGCTTTGGAAGTGTCTCTTCCCGTCACTTTTTACGTCTTACTTTAAAATGAGTTAACCTCCAGCTCCACGTCAGCCTCATTAATAAACCGCAGCAGAAATTCACTTAACGAAGACTTGTATTGCTTCTTCACACTAGCAAAAAAAAAGGGGGGGATTAATTTACGAGATATATCGTTTGATATTGCTATGTATTAAAATATTTCCCAAATGCATGCACAATTTTCTGAGTTAACGAAAAAAACATCCCTTTTCTTGTAGGATAAAAAAAATAAAGTAAAAAAATCATGCCTTTCTCGTTAACCCAGCAGCTGACGATTCAGATATGTTATTGGGTTAGAAAGAACGTTAAAAAAAAGCAAAACGTAAAGGGGAGAAAACAGAATAGAGGTGGTTTTTTTTTTTTCAAATGAAGTTATGCGGCCCACTCTGGGAATATTAGAGAAATACTACTTAATTGTTCTGAATATTATTTTGCTCCTTTGACGCGTCATCTAAATTAACACGGCAACAATAAGGTGAATCTCTAACAGCGAGTTGATATGTTGGTTACAAACAATTATTAGGGCGAGCGGTCTGGGATCCTTTCTATGGGAGCATTTTACCTGAAGACAGCCTGGCAGAGGTGACAGCTGGACTCCGCAATCTGGAACCGTTCTTCCCCTCCCCCAATCCAGCCCCGAATAAATCACAGGAGAGTGCCACTGATTCGCATCCAGGCAGGGCAAGGTCTACTGTATTTTCCCGAGAAAAATAAAAGGACTTGACTGTCTCGCTTGAAGGAAAAGACATTTGCTTCCCGAAACAGGAATTTACTTGTCATGGCTGTAATCTGGGAAATACAAGTAGCCTTCATAGAAGAGAGAGAAACTCACTTGAGCCTTAATTCCTCTCAACGGTGTTAAAATAGGCCGGCATTATTTAACAAAGTACTTTGACAAAGGGCTTGAGTTATTCATTCTGTGGGGCTTAAACAAAATAAAGAAATGGCAAAAATAAGAACGATATGTTTTCACCCTGGGCAGCAGCTCTGTGGCTACTTTAGGCTCTGTCTTAAACGCACAGAAAAAATAAGTATGTGCATTTTTATAGAGAGATAAATTGACAATTTATTGTGTATAACTTCTGATCAATTATTAATCGTTAGTGTCAACACCAGGGTTATAATTACCTTCAGTTATTTAAAGGAATATTTATTTTTCCTTCTCTCTGATCTAGTAATTAGTTAATGCTCTGGTGTAATGAACTCGAAGCTGATTTGATTATGATTTAGACAGTTTCCTCCGCTCTCTTGGCAGCCCTTCTGCCCAGCTCTCAGGAGAGGGAAGCGCCCCGTTTGCAGAAGACGCCGTTGACTAGCGAAAGTCACAACGTGCCCTCCCCAGTGCATCAATAACGATTCTGGAGGAAAAGAGGGAAATGACGGACAAATAGACCGCAGCTGGAATTAATAAGGCTGATCAAAGTTGGTGGGGTTGTGGCTGCTCGCAGCAGCAGTAGGTCCGAGTCCCATAAAGGTACCAGCACTCGTTTGCTTTTCTCTGCGAGATCAAGAGACAGGATAAAACTGCCCACTTTAACGCTTGCGCGAGAAAATAAGGGGCTTGATTTTCGGTTTCCCTTAAATACCTCCAGGAGACTATAACTGCAGCAGTTGAAAGTTAGGAAGCAACGTGCTCTGATGTACCTGTTAGACTATACCAAATTCCAGAACAAGAAGGGGGGACGAGCGACGTTTTTCTCGTGGGGCATCTGAAAAGTCACTCACATCTGGAAGTTAAACAGCAATGCTAACAGCCTTAAAGTGAGAAGTTCGAGTAATTCATTTGGAAGAGAGGGACACACTTTTTTGGGGAGGAGGGGGAAACCTAGCACGGAGAAGCATGCTTTCTACTGTGAATACTAAGACTTCTCTCAGAAAACTGTTTCTACTAATATCTTAAGAGCCTTTTTAGGGCTAATATCTTATAATAGCTTCTAATATCTACTGTCTTGAGAGCCTTTTTAA